GAGTTTCAGCCTGAGTCTTTTAATTACTTCGGCACTCGGGGACGGTGGTCATTACCTTCAGATTTAGCCGAAATGCACATGGACATAGATAAAACGACACATAACACCATTAATTTTGATTTATATTTGATTATATAACCTTTACGACCAGATTTATGTATCTGTTTTATGACCAAATAAATAATGTTCTGTACAAGGATGTGTTTAAAAATATATAAGTTATATTTTGTTTATTCCAATACATGCGTTTTACATTCTTCTAATCATCCAATCATCAAAATCTAAATGCTTACGTTAAAAATTAGCCCGTGCATCGCACGGGTACCGCACTAGTAATAAATAATATCAACTAATCATTCTTACACATCACATTAATTTTAATTCACTATTCATCAACTCACATAATTTTAACTATTCACCACTTTTAATCATTTTTCATGTAGTTTTACATCAAATCAACTTTAATTATTTTATTTTAAATATTATTTTAAATTTAAATTCCACTAACAACTAACTATATCATTTCTTTCAAAATTATCTATGATTAATAAAAACTAAATAGAAAAACAATCAAATTTATATTCAGTCACAACAACTCTTACTTAGCCTATGTATGCACATTTTGATGTACCACCAACCTAATTACAAGATATCATAATTCTTAAATCACATTTTCACTTATACTAATATCCGGGCCACATATAATATCATGAATCACATACCACTTATATAGAATGATAATATTCTGTCACATTAATTTGTGGGTACATTAATTCGTCTGAAATAGGACTAGTAAATTATAATGTAGGCCTTGTGTTAGATTGTCTAATAGTTATAGTTAGACACTCATGGTGAAAGATATTTTATTTTGGCATTAGTTCGATAGTTCGAACAAGCACCTGGAACCACAGAATAAAAAGGGAAGATCTTTATACACTATATTTCTTTAAGTAATATTGTGTTATATTCCATATGAAAATTCATGTATATCTTATTACGGTTTTTATATAGGTAAGTACACGTGGAGAGATAAAGAAAAAGGAGAAAAGAGACATGCTAGAGGAGATCAATGAGAGAGAATAGAAGATTTCTTGCCATAGTTATCCTATTATCTTGGAAGGAAATCTTGAATGAAGACCTATGCCTTGTAGAAGACTCCAACCCTAAGGAAATCATATATATACCCTAGAAGAAGCTCATGGCGGCTGTGGATTCGATACGGAGAAATATTCGAGTGCCATTCAAGCTTCATTTGTTTTNATATTTCTTTAAGTAATTTGTGTTATATTCCATATGTAAGTCCATGTAGATCTTATTACGGTTTTTATATGATAGGTAATTGCACGTGGAGAGATAAAGAAGAAGGAGAAAAGAGACATGCTAGGAGAGGAGATCAATGAGAGAGAATAGAAGATTTCTTGCCATAGTTATCCTATTATCTTGGAAGGAAATCTTGAATGAAGACCTATGCCTTGTAGAAGACTCCAAACCTAAGGAGATCATATATATACCCTAGAAGAAGCTTATGGCGGCGATATATAACATACTGAGAAATATTCGAGAGCCATTCAAGCTTCACTTGTTTACTGTTCTATTTTGATTGTATTTAGTACAGTCTAAGAGTTCTTACAAACTCAAGGACTGGTACTGCTTTCGTTTAGTTCTTTATACATTTCATCAAAACTATTTTACGGTTTGTACACTTAGGGAATAAGTGTAGGTGTTTAAGTCCACGGGACGTGGCCAGAGGATTAGTTGATAGGATCAAGTAGAGTTGGCTAGATTTGAAGGGAGTTCGNCTAAGAGTTCTTACAAACTCAAGGACTAGTACTGCTTTCGTTTTGTTCTTTAGTCATTTCATCAAAACTATTTTACGATTTGTACACTGAGGGAATAAGTGTAGGTGTTCAAGTCCACGGGACGTGGCCGGAGGATTAGTTGATAGGATCAAGTAGTGTTGGCTAGATTTGAAGGGAGTTCGAATCTTTGTAAGTCCAAACTATGTGTACGAGTGATCTATCAATGAAAGAGCTCTGAGGGGAAGTGGGACTCTTCCCTGAAGAGTTTGTAAATCTTCGGTTGTTTGCTTCCGCAGTTTATAATTCTTAGTGTTGTTCTTACTATAACTCGCGCACTCCGTGACAAATATACGTTTCAATTAGTAAAAAGAATATGTGGGACTAATACAAGACCAACGAGATGGAGGTTTTGAAAAAATTTAATGGCAGTGCACCATAGTTTGGGATTGGTGGGAAGATGACAAAACTTGATGAGATTATTTCAACTAATGACTTCATGATTGTGACCTCAATTTCATTATCGGAATTGACTTCGCTTTTTTTTTAAAAAAAAAAATAATAATAATAATATCATAATGCTACAACTTGTGAGTGACATTTTGATCATAATAAAGAAAAACAAGTATTTTTATTTATCAGCTTCTTGAATGGCACTTTCAGTGTCTCCCCTGTAATTGATTTATCTATTTATTCTTTTTATTTTTTTAAATTTATCTATTTTGATCATAATAAAGAAAAACAATGTTACCGTCTCAGGCTTAGAGTCATTCTGGACTCCCAAGAATTCCAAGTTTGTACGTTTTGCACACAAGTGCCTTGGCCAGGCCTTTGTTAACACACCTAATGACGATCCAAGCAAACTTGTAATTTTCAGAAGTTTCTTCTCTGTGGACCATTTACTCTGTGGTGCAATAGCCTTGTTGATACTTGGGCTAAATGAGGGACGTTAGGGTGATAATCCCGTCTAGGTCGGATCATGGCGAGAGCCTTCTGAGCCGACCCTCCAAAGGTAAAAGTCCGAGGAGCCTCAACGTGTCATACTTAGATTGTACGACCTCTTCAGCTGGCAAAGGTCGGAGATTCGACTCCACTCATTTATGGAGAAATGTTAAAATACTACCACTTAGCAACCCAATGATGACTGACGGGATAGGCATGCCGTCTCATAGACTTGTAGGGTAGCCTGTGAGTATTTTAATGCCTGTCAAATAGCATTAAATTGATGTGGCCTAGATGAACAGTAGTAGGAGAATATACCACCATAAATATCCTTCGGGGTCAGAAAGAGGGGGATTGCGATTTTTCGGCGAAAGAATTTAAGACGTTGAACAATAAAAACACCAAAAAGATTATGCATTTATGATGGAATCCGATCTCAATCGCTGTGAGGATCCGACCTCAATAATACCTGTTTTATACAAACTCTTTGTCAGAATTTAATTCTTTCAACTTCAATAAACCGACGATTAAGAGTAAATATCAAGATTTACGTTGATCAAATCTTTTGATTCAACAGTTTGGCGCTAGAAGGAGGTCCCCATAAGTTACTTGGGGATGTCGTCGCTACCCCCAGCCGTGGTGGCAGTCGATTATTTTACCAAGTGGGAGGAAGCTGAGCCCTTAACAAAAGATGATCGATTTTCTGTAGAAATCCATATTGTGCAAGTTCGAGCTCTCGAACTTGATAGTTACGGACAACGGGCGAGAATTAAGACGAAAAAGCTCGAGTCGTTCTGTGATGAGTATAAAATTAAGCACTATTTTTTATCACCTTACCATCCACGGTCGAACGAACAGAACAGGTTGAAGCTATCAATAAATAAGATAATCAAGCACGGCCTCAAGATCCGACATGAAGCAGCAAAGGGAGCCTGGCCAGACGAACTGCCGAGCGTTTTATACGGTCGTATAGAATCACGACGCCAACTTCGCCCGACAAGGTGACGAAGATTCTGAGTTCCATAAAGGATTCAAAAAACAACACTTGAAAAATGGATTCTCATGATGTTCCCTTTAGATCGAAATTATGGTTGGTTAATGTTGTGTTTTACTTTAATCATCAACTTTGTTTTGGTTGTTCCCCTGTATCATCCTGCTTGTTTGAATATGAAAACAGAAGATGCTAAACAATTAGAACACTTTGTTTGCTCTCTACACACAGCTGTTGTGGATGAGCCCAAACCTCTTAAAACCCCACCTGCCAATGGCAAGGTATAGCTATACATTAATGAGTTTTCTATTACTTTTTCTTTCTTCCCTTTTTTTTTTGTTTTTTTTTTTTTTTGTTTTTTATCTGGAGCTGGAGATAGTAACTTTTCTGTTGATTACAAGAAATGCATACCGTTTTTTCATTTTCCAGATTAGAATAGTTTTTTGTTATTCTGCAGGTCAAGCCAAAGCGCTCGTTGAAGTAATCTATTCAGTGTTGTACAGTGCATATAACTCTTGCGTAGACCTGCAACTTTTCTAGTCATTTATCGTGCGACTTTTGTAGGACATGTTGGCTTTCAAACAGACCATATGTTTGATATATTTCATCATCTTGCTTTACGGAATTTATTTCTATAAGCCATCAATCTAACATATGTGTGAAATTATATGGAACACAAGAATTAGCATGAAATTGCTTTGATAGTTCTGCGTGAAATCTATCTTTTGTTATAAGAAAAAAGAAGACTGCGGAAAATCTAGTAAAGAATGGAAAAAGGAGAGGAATTTTATCAAAGGCACCAGGGAAGTATACGTGTTGTGGCAAAAGAAATACTTGATACAGTCGAGTATAATGTTGATTTGACTATGAGGAAGTTATATTCGTGTAATTCCAAACGGTACAATTCCAAATGGTACAAACCAATCTATTAATAAAAGTGTTTTGAGGTATAGTGTGACGCTCCCTAGACAAAATTATTTTTATATTGCTTCCGTATTTAATTTCACCCATTTTTTAAATAATGATTCATTCATCAAAACTTACTTTTGCCGTATCATATGATCAAACAAACAGACCCTAGCAAATAGTCAAACGTCCAACACCATGGAATGAGGGATAATATACGTGGCAGCTTTTAAGGTCCATGGGTTACACGTGTAACTGATACTGCTCGCAAATCACGACACGACATGCACTCTCACTGCCACCTATCTATGGCTAATATATATATATACACTTGCATTCATATCATAGACTGGTCTTGATAATAACGATTGGAAAAATAAAAGGATAATTAATGGCATTAAGTCCGAAGTTCGCATACACAGTGGTGTACGTGAAAGACGTGGGCAATTCCATCGCATTCTACGCCAAGGCCTTCGGCTACCAAGTCCGCCGCCTTGATCAATCTCACAGGTATATACTATATATAATAGAATTAGAATAGATAAATATATGGTGATTTAATTAATTAATAGGAATGAATAAGTAATGTATAAATTGCATCATCAGATGGGGGGAGGTGGAGAGCGGGCAGACAACCATAGCCTTCACGCCAGCTAAGCAGCACGAGACAGAACTGACGGGGCCAGTGAGGGCGGATCGGGACAGGATTGAGCTCTGCTTCGACTATGACGATGTGGATGCTGCATACAAGGTGGGTATTATTTGATTTAAAATCCATTTAATTGATTGATTAATTATATATTACTCTCTGATGATGGCAGAGGGCGGTGGAGAATGGGGCGGAGGGTGTGAGGGAGCCGGAGGAGAAAGAGTGGGGACAGAAAGTGGGTTACGTGCGGGATATTGACGGAATCGTCGTCAGGATGGGAAGCCACGTCAGATAGATAGATCTATCCGTAGATATATGTACACAAATAAATTAATGAATGCTATCTATGTTTCTGTAATTTTGTGAAATTGTTTTCGTTTTATATATGTAGGAAATAACTATTTTCGTGAGATAGATAGATCTATTCGTAGATATATACACAGATTGATTCACTTGATCAAGTAGAACCATTCTTAGGTCATCCACGACTTAACCGGCGAGAATGGTTCTTACTGAAATAAATGAGAATAAATTTTAATCATTCTTAATCCATCACATTAAGGGTAATATAGCATATTTAATACAATCAACTGTGGGGTCCATCTCATTAAGTGACGGATCTAGAAGTTTCACTCAGGGATGTTAAATAACGAACTTGCTGTTTTAGTTGAAACACTCATCTCATATAAAAATATATTTACTATAAATATAAATATCGATATGTGTATCAAGTAGTTTTTAATAACTGTTAGATTTTATATTATATTTTATGTACATTTATACTAATTTTTTTAATTGAACAATAATATAAAATTAATAATTAAAAAAATATAAAATGCTAATAATAATATTTATGAAATTTTAAATTAAATAATCATACATATTGTTAAAATTCTTTATCAACATTCTATATCTAACATATTTTTATTAAATAATTTTAGTAAAATATATAATTAAGCACTAATTGTATTTTCAACAATTACTTAAATAAACAAGCATCAACTCACTATTTTAATTACCGATTTTTAAAATTGTAAATTAACTTTTATAAATTATCTAATTTACATAAAAAAACCCGAACATTTTTTTCTTCCCGGCCGTCCATCTACTTCAGCGCACCCTCGGCGTGGTTTCACACACAACAAGCAGCCGTCGCCGAACCGCCATCGCCGTCGGGTCGCTCCGCAGTTCGCCGCTTCATAGCGGCCATCGCCGTCGGGTCAGTTCGCCGCTTCATAGCGGCCATCGCCATCGGGTCGCTCCGCAGTTCGCCGCTTCATAGCATCGTCTTCCTCCGTCGTCGGCTCGGCGGTTCAGCAGACGCGACTCCTCGTCTTCCTCCGTCGTCGGCTTGCCGCCTCATCTATGTCAGTCGGCTCGACGCCTCGTCTCCGTCCACAAGCACATATTTTCGTATCCGTCCATCAACGCGCCGCAACGCCGACGTCCACCGTCGTCCACCGCCGCGTCGCTTCAATTCCGTCGGCCGCCGATCAAAGGAGGAAGACGCCTCTGATCTCCTGTGCGTGCATCATGAGAGTTGGTGGTGTGTGTAGGATCTTCACGCAGACTAGAAATAGTGAGCGATGGAGAAGAGAAATAGAGATGGTAGGTGGGGGAGAGAGAGAAATGACAGATCGGAAAAAAATATAGAGATGAGAGATAATGATGGGTTGGGATGGTTGTGGAGCCCACTACAAGATTTGTGTTCACACAACTAATTACGCCTATGCCCCCAAACATATATAATTTACCTTCATGTTGCACTGAATCACAATTATGCCACTGCTTAATTTCTGCGTGGTCAACACATGGGACACATCCTGATCGTTAATTTAACAGATCTTGTGGTGTATATTTATTCTCATTTCTTTCACTATATCTCTTTCTCCTCTCTCTATATATATATATCATAATTTTTATGCACAATTACATTAGACAAATAATGAAAATTTTCCCAACTCTTATGTAATTCATAAGCCTTTAATTTCATTGTCGTTCGTTGAAAACCAAGACATACGAATTCTTAATCTTGGTGTTTCCTAACTACTTGGGGCCCGTCTAATGATAATTGAGAAACCTGCGTGACTTTTGAAATTAACAACCCGTCCCTAGATGACCCCAACACAAATTTTAATTTCAAGGAGAAAACAAAATAAGAATTGTGTGCAACCATCTCGGAGTAATAAAAATAGATATTATATTGTAAAATGCTGAGATCTTTTATTTTTGTTCAAAAATAGCACTAATATATAGGAAGTTATAGAACTGTAGTATAACACCAGAAACAATCTATCTTTAAGTAAGTTAAATCACACCTTATTAATCATACAAAAACATAGAGTATACTTTTTAGTTTTTGTTAGAATATCACTTGTGAGTTGTCCCACATCACACCTTATTAATCATACAAAAACATAGAGTATACTTTTTAGTTTTTGTTAGAATATCACTTGTGAGTTGTCCCACATCGTTCATATATGGAAAATAGACCCACCTTATAAGACTAATGGGCTACTCCTCCTTCCACCAATTGGTTTTGGGATGGAACCTCATTTGGGCTTCATATGGGTTTTTCCCTTCTTTCATGGTGTCCTTCATGGTAGTGGGCGAGCACTCATTTCCCCCAGCTTCTGTCATGGTATCAGAGCCGGTTCTATCTTGGACCGTGTGATGACGTACCCATTGTTTATCTCCCATGGTATCAGAGCCGGTTCTATCTTGGACCGTGTGATGACGTACCCATTGTTTATCTCCCACGTACCCATTTATGGGAGCCTGTTTGTAGTAACATGGTATCAGAGCCGGTTCTATCTTGGACCGTATGATGACGTACCCATTGGGAGCCTGTTTGTAGTAGCGCTTGGGGCACCCAGCCCAATATATGGAAAATAAATCCACCTTATAAGTTTACCTGTTTGTAGTAGCATGGTATCAGAGCCGGTTCTATCTTGGACCGTGTGATGACGTACCCATTGGGAGCCTGTTTGTAGTAGCGCTTGGGGCACCCAGCCCAATATATGGAAAATAAATCCACCTTATAAGTTTATGGGAGCCTGTTTGTAGTAGCGCTTGGGGCACCCAGCCCAATATATGAAAAATAAACCCACCTTATAAGACTAATATGCTACTTCTCCTTCCACCAATTGGTTTTGGATGGAACCCCATTTGGGCTTCATATGGGTTTTTCCCTTCTTTCATGGTGGACCGTGTGATGACGTACCCATTGTTTATCTCCCACGTACCCGTTTATGGGAGCCTGTTTGTAGTAGCACTTGGGGCACCCAGCCCAATATATGGAAAATAAACCCACCTTATAAGACTAATAGGCTACTTTTCCTTCCACCAATTGGTTTTGGATGGAACCCCATTTGGGCTTCATATGGGTTTTTCCCTTCTTTCATGGTGTCCTTCATGGTAGTGGGCCCGCACCCATTTCCCCCAGTTTCTGTCAGTTTTGTTTCTAATTACAAATAGCAATCTCGTGTTGCATGAACCAGGGGAACAGTACAACTTGGGAATTTTTTCTTAAAATTTTGATTTCACATTTTCTTCTAGTTTTCGAGTTGTACATCTTGTCATATTGATACCTATTTTTGGGCGCATCCTTTATCAAAGCCTACAATTCCACTTATCACCAGTTTAATTGCCACGATGGTTACACTGATTACCAGTTTATTATTGCCTCTACTATTTTTACAAAATGAGAAGCTTTTAGAGTACCACAATGAGATCATCTTTTTAATTTTTTACTAACATCAGTCGTCAAATACGAAAAATAAAGTCTTTGGTGTTGGCTTTTGTCGCAATCAGGATTTTGAATATTTCAAAAAGTTACATATTGTTGTTGCAAAGGCTTATACTGATTAGATTTCTCCTTCTTTTAAGTCTGCCAAAATGTCGAGCAGACCAATTTTTCAAACGGATGTTGTATGAAAATATGTTCATTTATATTCGGTATTAATTATGTAAAACATGGCTTGCAGTATCGAGTGATTTAAAAGATCCTATATTAAAAACATTAAAAATTATTTGGTGGGAGGAGAAATGTTTCTTCTTTACACATAAGAAAAAAATAATGATCATTTAATAGAAAAATGGAATTAATATGATGGAAAGACAAAATAAATTTTGATTCTTAGAATAAACGAGTACGTCGTGTATTATATGAGTGTTTGATAAAATAATATAATGTAAAACAAAAAGATAAAAGATAAAATATGTTTATATATTTCATTAAAGTATTTAGACAATTGTTGATAAAGCCAAAATGACATTTATAAAAAAAAAAAAGGATGTAGTATATAATTATAATAAAAATATATGTGAATTTACAATAATATTTAAATTCTAAAAACTAATTTATATACAATATCATTACTTTTATTTATAATATTCTTACTTAAAACATATAAGATAATAATATAGACAAAGCGTACCATTTAAAAAGTAAAATTACCTTCATATTATTACAGAAGAAAGAAGAGAGAATAAATAAATTTATACGTAATGATGTAAATATATTTAATATGTATTTATGGCAATTAAACCATAAGTTATTTAATATGAAAAAATTAGCAATTTTCTATAAGTCATTTTTTTTAAAAAAATAACATTTTTCCAAATAAAATTACGAATCGTGCGAAGTTGTGGAAATTATATATAAAGGAAGGGAATAAAATTAATAAACCTTATTCTACTTATTATCATCATTACATCTTTTCGTAGTTTGATTTCTGATTTCTCATACCTCTACATAGTACTACTTATCAGCTAAAACTAGTCCGTGGCCCGTGCGATGTACGAAAAAATAATATTTACGATTGTATAATAAATTTAATATATAAATAACATTAATCATAATTTATTTATTGTTTTTAAATTAAAATGGTTTGGACATAATCCGACCGGATGGACCAAGAATCGGTTTATAACCAGTCTAGTTTGCTTGAATAAAATATTTACTCTGGAATCCGTCAACACCAGTCGGTTGGACTGGTAGGATCAACACGATTTTCTAAATAAATTTTGTTATATTTAAAATTATTTTAAATAAAATTACATATTTAAATAAAATAGAGATTTATAAATTATTTATCAGTTAGTTTAAACATTTGAATTTATAAATTGTTTAGATATCTTAGTAACACATTTTATTTAAATTTATTACAAAAGTACTATATATATATATGTATTAAAATGTTTATAAATTAAAATCTGAACAAACCACAAATGATTTAATAAAATAGCTTGATCGTTTCGATGACGGTCCAGTTCTGAAAACCTTATATTTACTGTACATTAATAAATATTATAATAAAATATTATTTAATTCACATAAATATTAATAAAATGATGTATAAATATTTTTAAATCATTAAACATGTTGTCATAAAGGGATTGTTAATACGATTATTTGAAATTTGGACTACATCACATTCACGTAATAACATATTTTCAATATAAAATTTATATTTAGGTTCAATAATCGATTTGGTGGGTCGAACTGATACATAACTTAGTCACCTGGGACCAACCAAGTTGTGTCAAGTTTTTTGACTATTTTAAATATTACCTAAAAGTAATTCAATCAACATGGTCAGTACCCTAATTCAATCACCCGATTGATTCGAAGAAATTTTCTTATTTTCTTTAAATATATTTAATTTTATGAAATAAAAATATTTTATGATTCATATAATAAATGTCTACACCAAATGAAGTATATTAAGATTATAAATTATATATCTAAAGTTGAATTAATTATTTTTACTTTATGCATATTAATAAAAAATAAATATAGTAATTTTCAAAAAATTAAGATTAATTGATTGATTATGCAATTTAAAGAATAAAAATAAAAACATACACACTTAATATATTTTAGCCGAATTTTTTAATTATAAAATAAACTAAAGCCCGAAATTTAAGGTAGCATTTAATGATGTATGATTTTTAAAGAAAAAGATAAGAAAAGTAATAAAACTTACTATATATAGGCTGCATTAAATTCTGACATAGTTTTTTGCTACTATTTTTGGTAAATGATAATTCTTATTATATATATATATAGTTACATAGTATTTGATCAAATACTCATCATAAAATTCAGAGAAGTGTTATAGATTTGTGGATATATTATCCTGGCACATCATTTTGTTTATAAAACATGGCAATGAAAGCAGTCCTATTAATTGTAGAGAAGTGTTATAGGTACATAATATTGTACATAGGGTGTACATAACACTCACATTGAGTGAGACCGATCAAAAATAAAAACTCAAGTGGACCCCACTTCATGTGAGTGTTATGTAAACCTCTATGTACATTTATTATGTATTTGTAGCATTTTTCTTAATTGTATACGATGTGAAAGATAATCTCACAAAAACTAACAAAAGTCAAAAAGTACAACTCCATACAACCTTCATGCCAAACCTATACACGTGTACGTATATATATAGGCAAAATTGTATATTAATACATCACCTTTCATGTTTTTGTAATTTAATCACCACCTTTGATATTTTTGCAAATTAAAACACCACTTTTATCTTTTTTGCAAATCGTACATAAATGACGGTTCCGTTAACAAAAATCTGACATGGCTATGACGTGGTCTGATGCCATGTCAGATTTTCGTTAGATTTTTGTTAACAAAACCGTCATTCATGTATCGATTTACAAAAATTGTAAAAGTGATGTATTAATTTGTAAAATATCAGAGGTGGTGACTAATTTGCAAAAACATGAAAGGTGATGTATTAATATGCAATTTTGCCTAAAATAAATATTACTTAATTAATTAAAGCCCAATCTCATGAAAAATAGGATCATCCAGCAAGTCGGACCACATCTGGGAACCCACACCACCCTCCGCCGCCGTTTCCCCGGCCGAAATTTCCGGCATCGGAGCCGCCGAAGACGGCGGCGACTGAGACACATTTCCCCCCATCCACGGCCCCCCACCAAAATCGCAACCCCCAATACTCTGTTCACTAACTCCGCTACAAATCGGAACATTCAGTAAATCCGGCAGATGCGAGAACGCCGGAAATAAATCTCCGGCGACCGGCGGTGCCGCCGTTCCCTGAATCGACGCTTCTTTAAAGAGATCGAAATCTCCGACCACGTCTTGTGCCGTGAAGAGTTTATTATTATTATTATTATTGTTGATGCTGATATTTTGGACGTTGTTGGGGGTCAAAATGGGAATTTGACTTTGGGGTTGGAAGATGTTTTGGATGATGAGGTTTTGGAGCCGAGCCATGTGGGCGGCTTCAGTTTGGAGCCGTACGGCTTGCTCCAGCTCCCAGCAGCCGGCTGGATTATCGATCAGCTTGGCTAGAGCTATGAGGCTTGAAAATATATCGGTTCTTGGCTGATGAGTCATCGGGTCAAAGCCCATTTGGATCAGCTTCTTCTTCAGATGTGTGTTCCAAAAGTTCTTTATCTCGTTATCTGTTCTTCCGGGAAGATGAGTCGCTATGGCTGACCACCTATTGTTAAGCATCACACATCGATTAAATATTCAATTTTTCAATTCGTGATAAAATTAATTTATGCACACATTTTTATATTTTTTTGCTTCGATTGGTGACGTCACAATTCAAATTGTATTAGGTACAGCAAGAATTAAAATTTCAGATTTGTTGGAAAAAAAACACCTCCTCATAAATGAATTATCTTTTACTCGGATCTCATGAAATGCCATGGTTCATAATTGATTATTGATGTGAAAATTGTAAATTATGTCCGGTAAGTTAAAGCATGTGAAATTTTTGTCGTTCAACTTTTTAGATAGTAGAAAACACCAGTAACGATTCATATTTCGAACATTTTGCCCCCAAAATTTGAGTTATTGGATTATTTGGTTCACTTAGTTAGTTGATAGTTTTTGCATAAATTTTACGGTTTTGAGCATTATTTATTTATTTTCGGTACAAGCACATGCTTTTTATTAATTAACGATGATTTTCTTATTGGTGAAAGTTAATAGACAAATTTATCACCCACCCCAAATTACTGGACAGATTTCATATTTTTTTTTTAAATTACTTTTGTTATTTTTCTTTCTCTTCAACTTTTTCAACTAATCATTAGAGAAAGAGATAGTTGGGGACAAAATGTCAACTGCAAAAGTATTAGAGTTGGTGTAAGTTTGGTGTCAATTCGCCTAATAAAATAATTTTTTCGTCGAATTATATCATAAAAAATATTCACTTTCATTAAAAAATTATCAGAATTTTGATCAAAAGTGATTATATAAATCATAATACACACATAAATAAAATATAAAATTTGAAGAATGTATTGTGTGAGCATTACTTATTGCCAAGAACGGCATGAAGATTGAGGATGGTTTGCTCTTCTTCTTGAGAGAACTTTCCTCTCTTAATATCAGGTCTCAAGTAGTTAGTCCAACGGAGCCTGCAACTCTTTCCACATCTATTCAACCCTACAACATTCATATTTTTCAGGACCAAATATATACAAACATAAAGAAAAACTAATTGTAAGTGATAAAATTTTTAAGATAATATACCAGCAAGTCTAGGGAGAGCTCTCCAGCTGCCATGGCCATGTTTTTGGATATAATTGATAAGTAATTCATCTTCTTCAGGGGTCCATGGCCCTTTCTTCAACCCACCCTCATCATTAATACTGCTTGGAGATCTTCCCATTTTTATCACCTTTTTTTTTTTTTTTTTTTNAATTTAAACTAGCTAGCAAGTGATGCTTAATTTCTCATGATATGGGTTTGCTGCCTTCTCCCCAATCCTACCAAATAAATGGAGCCCTTCTATAAATAACACTCCCCTTTGTCTTCTTTTTGCATATGCTTCATTTTCATGTGGGGTTGGCTTAGGTTGGGGGCCCCATAATTCTCCAACTTCAAATTACTAAAAGCACCCTCCTCCTCTGTTTTGTCACCAAATTCATGGGTTTAATTTAAGATAAGATTTGGTATCATTTTACTTACATATTTATTTTGCACATCCTATATCTTATTTTCTTAATCTAGCTAGTATTAAATCAATTTTGCTATGGAGCCATCGGATGGCTCGACTTATGGAGTCATCCACACTTATTCACCAATAGTGTGTTGACACGTGTACTACAATAAATAAAATTTGGGCAAGTGTCAACACATTAAGTGGTGGATGACTCCATAAGAAAACCATCCGATGATTCCGCAGAATTTTTTAGTATCAATATAACATACGTCTTTTGTTGAGTTTTGATACTATAACATACGCAGATTAGAATAATTTTTTTACTATTTTCGACCTAGCTAGTTACTCATACATTTATGCACATTTTAATGAATGAATTAAATTATGGCAAAAGTTTATTATTTTTCTTGAGTTTTGATACTATGACGGTCAAATATGTTTGAAGAAACGTTAGTATTGAATCAGTGGCAAAACAGCTAGAGTCGAACATGCGATCGAATGCTTTTGGCGCGGCTTTCACGGGACTCATGTGGACGACAGTCAAAGGTTATACAAATCGTGTGGAGTTAAAATTGTGCAAAATGAGCTTTCAGAAAATTCCAATGAGTCGTGTGAGGTCTGACACAACACCACACGACTTGTGTTGGCCCTGAGATACTTTTGATGTACTTTTGGGGCACGACGCAAAATGTCACACGACTCTTATGGCTCTAGCAGCCAGTCACATTTGGTCATTTTTTTAGGTTCTTAAATTCGATTCTTCGTTTTAATACGATATAGAATGGTTTGGATCGGTTTTTCGTATAAATATTTATGAAATTTTCAAAACTGGATTGATTATTTTTTCTGTTTATATCAGTTTGCAGAAAGTCAACGATCAACTATTATTTTTGCAATTCGATTTTCGTAATAATTCGGTATTCTCCTAGTCCACATAGTAAATAAACATGACCACCCCCAAAGTTAATGGATATAAAATAAATAAGGGCATTTCAGGGAATTCGTGTCCTGTAAAAGTTAATATTCAAATATTAGATATGGAAAAATAGAAAAAAAAAATATTGAAAGTAAGAAAAAGTCATGGTTTTGAACAGGTGGCGGCTGTCCTATTGTCAGTCAGAGGAACACTCTCCATGCACGCAATTAGGGGGCACTCTATCGTCATTCATTGCATATTTTGCATGGCCCTCTCTCACACACACATACATGGTGTCTTAAGAAAAAACGCAAATTTTAGTCTACAAGATTCGTTGTCTTAAGAAAAATATCAAATTTAATTACATAGGTTGCAACTTGATCCTTGTGNTCATAAAAATTTCATTGTTATTAAGGGATGATTGTATAAGTTATTTTCAATTTGATTGAATTTTTCGATTGATCAGAGTTAGTTTTGAAAAACTTTATTAAGTTAATTTTGAATGAGACGAAAAGGTTGATTGTGTTTGTTTTGAAAGGGATTTTGGGTTTGTATTAAAATAATATTTAAAATATAATAATTAAGGTTGCTTTGAAGTAAAATTATGAGATATGTGATTGAAAATGATTGATAAATAAAATTATGTGAATAGATAAATATTTAGTTAAAGTTGATTAGATGTGTGAGGATGATTAATTTATATATTTAATTATACTGATAACATTGAAAATGATCGAATTGAGTTAAATTTGATATGGATCATTTAGAGTTAAAAAAAGTTATCTATTCAATAGTGACCAATAATTTAAAAGTTTTAAAGAATCCAAATTAAAATTCGTCTAAGCCTAGAATTTATAGAAACAATCTTGCATTTATCGTTCCCCATCTGTAATTTAAAAATTATTTCACATTTTTTTCATAAGACAAGTAAATTGCTAATGCAAACATCAATTAAATATTTTTAACCAATAACCCAATCCAGTTCACAATTGAAAATTAATTAGTCTTGAAGCCTAGGAGTTTAATTTCTTTTCCTATATCACCTTGATTCCGGAAATGACGAATAGTGAAATGCATTTACGTACATTTCCAAGGTCCGTACAGTATCCCTCGGGCATCCATATACGTACCCACAAATTGATTATGATTATGGTCATATGTAATTTTGACTATTTGAAAAGAAAAAAAATATATGTAAGTTTGACCCAACCCAAGAGAGCGATTTGGTTGGAGCAAAAGTTGGTGCAGCAAACTTTCTACCACATTATTGTATCTATTATTTTAATTAATAGAGCAATTCTTGAAGCACATAGAATATTTTTGTGAAAATATCATTATAGAAATATTTTATTGGACAACAATATTTAAATTAAATGTATATAGTTGTTATAATATTATTCAATTAAAGTGATCTACTAATTTGTAATTTTGAATAAAGAGAGTAATTACCTCAATTAATCATATATGAAGTAATTACCTTAATTAATTAATATTATAAATCTAATGTCTGTCTCAATGGATAGCTCGCTGAGATTTGAGAATTGATTATTTAACAACTTAATTTTTATTTTCCTTTGCAGATGAAACATAATATTCCTTTATTTTATAATTTATACCTTCTTGCTGTCATAATGAAGTTTATATGACTTTAAATAAGTTCAATTATTAAATTTAGAGGATTGATTGTGGGAAATTTTGTTTTGTATTCAAATTACATGGACAAATTCCAGCGCCACTAGCGATTCATGGCGCACTGTGCTGAAAATTGTATTATTTATTAAATTTTAAGAAAAATAAATGTTTTTACTTAATTTATTAATAAGTCAGTTCGTTATGAAGTGTCTAATCAAACAATTACAAAGACAGTGAGCCCATAAAGTTACCATATTAACTTTCTACATTAACTACAATTTTCTTCCAAGATAATTTATATTATATTTTTACTTATACCTAATAACCTAAACAGAACAAAATATCTTACTTCACCATCGGCCTCTTTCAAACCTAATTTGGATTTTAAAAGTGTCAACATCAACAAATTTAAATTGTGTCAAAATTATATCATCAACGTGGCTATTATCACCAGATTTAACTCATCAATAAAGACAATAACCCAAAATTTGGGGAAAGCCAAAGGCCAGACGAGGAGAATCAATTTCGTAAATCGTAATTAGTAACTCCGATCCATCGTGTGACCATAACTATTTTAACCACGGTAATAGAGAATATGATTTTCTTGGTTAGAGCTGGCTACTTCTACTTGGTCTTGGGGTACCGTTGACTCTTGCTCAATATGATTAGGTGAACTAAAAGTTTGTTTTGATGAAATGTAAGGTCCATTGGGTTGATCGTTGTGTGTGTTTTCTTCTTTCTTTCTTTTATCCCCCTTTTATATATGGTATAAAATACGTGATTAGAAGCAAAAATAATAAATCCAATATGTTTGTCACAATTTTTTTATTATTGCATATGTTTGTCACAAATTGTGCATTGTATTTAAAATGCCAAAGTTTAACTATACATGACACTACAAAAAAATGTTATATTCCAACGGAAAATCCTATGGTAATATATTTAAATGGAAATTTCAACGGATATTCCAATGGTATAGCTTCTGTTGGAATGATTCCAACGGAAATTTCAACGAAAATATTCCATTGGAATGTATTTTTCATTGGAGTTTTAGATGGAATTTGATGATTCCAACGGCTATATTTCCAACGGCTTTGACCGTAGGAATTTCCGTTGGAATATGCAATTTTCGTTGGAATTTTTATTTCCATCACCGTTGGAAAATCTACCGTTGGAATCGTCAAAATCCAACAGAAATTCCAATGGAAAACTCATTCAAACGGAATATTTTTTTTTGGAATTTCCGTTGGAATAATTCCAACGAAAATAATAACATTGAAATATACATTGGAATTGTCGTTGGAATTCTATCGGAATATAATTCCGTTGGAATTTCATCATTTTCTTGTAGTGTGAGTACTTGGTCTATTGGTGCCTAAAAAACCTATTTTTGTCATAAGGTTTATGTTCAAAGGAGTTTTTGGTAGCACATAATTAAAGAACAACATTTGTATAAAATTAGATGGTTGAAAGTAAACTTCTCAGAACCTATAGTTTCTAACTTTTGATAAATAGTTCTTTGAAATAGCTTTTGGATCTAATATATATATATATATATATATATATATATATATATATATATATAATTCGTAGCCATTAGATCGGATGATCTAATGACTAAAAAAAAGTCAAAATTACTCATTAAGGGTAATTTAGATATTACCATTACACTCATTATCCACATCATAAAGCCAATCAGCACCACACACACAAATAACACACGCACACACACAAATAACACATACACACAAATAATTTATTACGCAAATAATTTAATAAATGTACAATAATTTTCATTAAAATACACAAATAATTTTTATTTTTTTTTACGATTGAAACGCACGTTAGTGTTCGGTTTAATTTGGTTGGGACGAAAGTTCGGTCATTTCACAATTTACAGTAGCGGCCAAAGTCTGTGCACATTAATGATTGTAACGTTGCACTTTTGAGACTGTGATATTGCACTTTAGCATATGTAACGTTGCACTTTTGTTTCTATGATTTTTAAATTTTGATTATTTCGTTAGAAGTCAACTTTATTTTTTTTAAACAACTTAACTGACCGAGCTAAAACTTGAGATGTCGGAAGGTTTTTTAATAGTTATTGTTAGTCGTATACTCGTATTGCACATTACTGAAGGCCGAACTACACATTAATATTAGGCGGATTGTACTTTAGTGACTGTCAGATAGCACTATACCCCGACC